CCAAACGAAACCCTAAAAGAGCAAAGCCCTGAGCAAAACCAAACCCAGCTTCGCCAAAGCACGTAATTACCACGATCATGTGCGCAAAACACAAAATGTTGAGCAAGAGATTTGTGCCAAAGACATCCTAAAGAAGTGAAGCGATAAGGCAGGCCAAAAGAGACCCTCAAGAAGTAAAGCTCTAAGTCACAACGAAAGACATCCTAAAACAGCAAAGTCCTATGGCAAACCAGCCAGAAACCCTAAAGAAGCGAAGCCCTAAGTGAAACCCAAGACATCCTAATGGAGGGAAGCCCTATAAGCAAAACCAAACCAGGCCCTAAAGAAGTGAATCCCTGAGTCAAACCCAAAGACATCCTGAAGAAGTGAAGCCCTAAGTGAAAACGAAAGACATCCTAAAGCAGCAAAGCCCTAAGCGCAACCAACCAGAGACCCTAAAGAAGTGAAGCCCTAAGTGAAACCCAAGACATCCTAAAGGAGCCCTCACGTGAAGGCCTAATTCCAGCACAAAAACATCCTAAAGAAGCAAAAGAAAAGCTAAAGGAGCGAAACCCTAAGCAAAACAAAAACAGATCCTCTACGAGGATCGCGCGTGCCAAGTGTTCAAACGTGTAGTGAAACGTCGATCGCGTTTGACGCGTTTGACCTGGAGCGACCCTCTGCGAGGATCGCGCGTATCATATGATAATGCGTGGTGCAAAACGCTCGTTCTGGAGACTTCCGCGGCTCACTTTTGAAAGACGTCTCGCCCAAAGCGCTCGTTCTGGAGACTTCCGCGGCTCACTTTTGAAGGAAGTCTGGCACAAAACGCTCGTTCTGGAGACTTCCGCGGCTCACTTTTAGAGGAAGTCTCGTACGATACGCTCGTTCTGGAGACTTCCGCGGCTCCCCTTGGAAAGAAGTCTCGCGCGAAACGCGCGCTCTCTCTCTCTCTCTGTCTCTCTCTCTCTAGACTTGCGCGGCTCACTTTTGAAGGAAGTCTCGTACAAAACGCTCGTTCTGGAGACTTCCGCGGCTCACTTTTGAAGGAAGTCTTGCACGAAACGCTCGTTCTGGAGACTTCCGCGGCTCACTTTTGGAGGAAGTCTCGTACGATACGCTCGTTCTGGAGACTTCCGCGGCGCACTTTTGGAGGAAGTCTCGTACGAAAACTCATTTTCACAGCAAATGCTACCTTCGAAGCACTACCGAATGATGCGTGTTCCAAAATGAGCCGCGAAATTGGTCTCACGCTGCAGTCCCGGAGAGTTTTCTTTTCGTCTGGGTTCCAAAATGAGCCAGGTTCCAAAATGAGCCGTTTCTAGGTTCCAAAATGAGCCGTGTACCGCAACAAACAAGTGTCTAAGTCCCAGACAGGTCATAATCTCTTGGTGGTCAATTAGAAGAAACAGATTAGCAAGCATTCAAATTGTCTCAGCAAAGCCTACTGTATTTGTCATGATGCTTGGTTGCACGAAGGATGAGTGGAAGGCAGTCGGTGGCAACTTGGCCAGATGTAGGAATCAACTTGATAAACTGCACGTAGCATGCATTGTAAAGAGTTGACCATTTTGTGGCTGTGCCAGCCGCTAATTGACAGGTTTGTGCTTTGGATCAGTGTGCTGTTTCCTTTGGTTTGCTTTTGTGCGGAGCCGTGTGTTGGTCCAAAGTCGGCGTGGGGACGGGTTTGTGCTTCATTGCAGATCCAGTTGGATGGCTTGCGCGGTTTTCCTCTTTGTGTTTTCAATGAAGGCGGCTTGAGAAGAAAACCGTGCTCAGGTGATATTGTAAACCTCAACAGCGAGGCATCATGGTGTTGCTTTGGTTCATGATTTAAGTAATCAGATTTTTTGTATGCAATACTAGTTGAAATAGAGTGTGAGAGTTTCAAGAGAACAAACAAACTCAAAGATCTCAAAGCATTACATGATGCAAGTGGTCGAATGAAGAACCCGTCGTTGTGCTGCCAAGGGATGTTTTTTTTCCCCAGACAGTTTACTGTTGGGGTGTTCTCTTAGAAAAAAGACACAGGACTGTCTCTGGCCACGCCCCTGAACCTTGTGTCCAAGCTCTTCTTGTCCTCCAGTTGTCCTGCTGGCGGCGCTCGCAAACCCTGTGTGCTTTTGTCCTCCTGCTGTCCTCTACCCAGGCTGGCAAACCCTGCGTCCTCCTCTTGTCTTCCTGGTGTCCTCCTGCTACGCTTGACACTTAACCCTGTTGTGGCCAGGTGTTGTCCTCCTGGTCCTCTTCTTGTCCTCCAGTTGTCCTCTGGCGCTCAAGAATCCTGTGTCCTCCTGGCCTACACGCCGCTCCGCAGCAAGGTCCGCCCGCACCCGCCATGAAACAGTTGCCCAACAACAAGGGCAAAAACTGTCACTCACACAGCCTCGAAATTAGACAAGCCCTACAAGTCAATAGCGAGTCGGATGAGTGATGGCATGACGCAACAACGATCGTAGAAGGTAATACGCCAGAAGTATGCGCTATTTTCATTCATCACCATATGGACATATATGGACCATATGCCGCATATGCAATATATCACAAGGGCTCATCATGTTGCCACTTAGTAAGTGTGGATCCAAACAGACTGTTGCGTTCAGCTCCCGCTCCCAAGATATATATATATGTGTGTGTGTGTGTGGAGCTTTGCATCTGCGGAAGCACCGTTATTGACCGTGTTTTCGTACACCGGAAAGCAAAAGCCACTAGAAATAGCGAGGTTTTTGAGGTTGACGTTGCCGAAAACCCCACAATGTACCGTACTTTACAGTGTTTTTATGCTGTGAGCGAGAAGCCACTGCAAAAAGCGATGTTTTTAAGCTTGCCGCGGCCCAAAGCACCGCTACTTACAGGTTTTTTGAACCTGCTGTCAAAAAGCACTGCAATTTGCGACGTTTTCAACGACTACTTGCGAGGTTTTTCACATTTTCGCGCAAAGACGTCAAGCCTCGGCAAAACCAAAATGGCGAAAGCCGTCACCCAAACAGCTCCTGACAAGACACATTAAAAAACGCGTCTCAAAGCAGGAAATCGAAGACCCCAAATAAAAAACACAAGGTTTTTTTTTTTTCATTTTTTTCTTGCTGGTTCCGGGCGAGCGCGTGCACGAACTAGTCCATTCCGTGCTGTAAACAACAGTGTTTTTTGAAGTCTGCCGTCGCGACCTATCAAAAACCCATTGTTTTCAGCAAAAAATGCCTCCCCCCAGGTAAACCTGTACCTTAATTACAGTTGTTTATGCCATCACGCCCTGAGCACCTTCGGTGCGGGTGGATTTGTGTCCTTGCCTTGTTCTCTTTGTGTCCTCCTGCTGTCCTCTGGCCTTGTCCAATGCTTGTCCGGGTTTGTGTGCCCTGCTTGGCCGCGCCATGGGCCGGTGCCGTGGGTTTTTCTTCTCGGGCCTTTTGTGTTGGCAAATGCATTGCAGGCGCTTAGCGAGACCTCCAGGCTCATCGGCGAGATGAGGCCTGACGATGTCCTATGTCAACCGCGTTCAGGGTTTTTGCGGTAGCAGTCGATATTGGTTCGATTGTTTCCTCCTGGTTTTTGTGTAATGTGAAGTTTCTACGTAGAGTTTGTTGTTGGATCATGCGTCAGATTCAGGTTTCTGGATGTGGTGGATTTTGATGACCACCTTGCGGATGGAAGCAAGAGCTGGCACGGAGACGCAGCCGACAGATGGGGAAACTGCGTGGTTATTAGTTGCAATTTGGGATTTGAGGAACCTGCGGAACAAAGATTAGGGTGAAAGTCACCACCCTGAATTTCGTGTGACGCAATCGAATCTACCATCTACCCACTCAATCGGCTGAAATTCAGGGGACGTATATAGAAGCATCAGTTCACCCGCCCTGGACGTCCACAGAGCTGAAGCTCTTCACAATCTAAGAGCGTCACATCCGGCATGCATGAATTGCGACTATGGCAAGGGACAGGAAGTATGTCCCTTCCCTAAGGTGAGCCTAGCAGGAAGCAGGAACGCCGGAAATGTAAGAATGCGTTCCCTTTGCGTGATGCAGTGACAGGGCATCCAAACACTATTCAAAGAGCACCAGAGCAAGTAGAATGCACCAAACAGTAACACAGCAGGACGACTTACCAGAAAACTGCAAGGCCTCCTCTCATTATTACCATTATCATTGTTGTTGTCGTTCATGGGATGTCACTGCCACTAATGTTGCAACATCCTGAGCAGTTCAAGTCTGCAACACCTGAAAGCACTTGCTTTTGCGCCGCTCTTTGCCAGGCTGAATGAGACGCTCTTCACCGGAGAGAAGATTGAGAAGATGCGGATCGACTGAGCCAGGTTGCTTTCCCTCAGAAGAAAAAATAAGAACTAGTAATTCTTACCCAGATGTTACTTGCCTGTACCATTGGCAGCAAAAAGTTGCACAGTGGCTCAGTCTGTAACCGGAGAAGCGCTTCGCCCGCACAGAGACATTGAGCACCGCTTGAGGGGTACCCAGGCAGATGATCCAGAAATCCTGGCACATGACTAAGATGATCCAAACTGTGGCTGAGGTATGCCTCTTTTTCAGCATGTTTCAGGATAAGGTTTTACTACTTACCAGCACCTAAAAAGTAACTACACTGGAATGGCCTTGTTGCACCTGTTGACAACATCACAGATCATGGCCACGAAAACTCGGCTTGGCTGTGAAAAAGATGCGAACCGCCCGCAGCTTGCAGGGGTGACACGCGAGACGAAACGCATTCAGGGCCAGGAAGACGGACACTTCATGAATTGGAAGCTATGGAAGCTACCCGATCCTTCTCTCAAGAATTTCCACAAACAGTTGCAAGCACCTGGAGCTTTCTGCAATGCTCTAGCGATTCTTAGAGCTTTCAGGCTCGAGTGCTCGCCACTCTCATCAGCAAGACTTCCTTGATCCATGGAACCTAGACAACAAGGTTGTTGCAAAACATGGCAAGAAGCAAAATTGGTTTCATAGTCAGAATCAACATGAATGACATGACCTTAGCAAAATTTTAAACAAGTGCCAATGTCCCCGTGCCGTTGCGGCAGCTGCTGACAGAAGTTTTCTTGTAATTTGAGTCCTAGAGCGTTCTAGGAATCAAGTCTGGAATACTTGCGGCCTTTTGGTCCCAACCATCACTTACAAAACAAGACTTCGGAGGGTTCCTGCTTAAGAAGCGTATGGGGGCCCAGGCTGGTTGGAGCATGGTCAGAAGACTGTGCAGCGAAGCATACATAGTCTGCCGCAGATCAATCACGATCAATTACTTGGCGACCCCAAAACACGGCGAGCTGATGTTCAGTCCAAACTGCCCCATGCCCGATGTTGGTCAGTTAAATTCAATGAGTCATAGCATAGAATTCCTGAAAAAGCTTGAAGTCTGGAATCATTTTGAATCCCTCAAACATGTCTGGAGAATCATGGCAGGCCATAAATGTGTGGGTGTGGCTCTGCCGGCATGGAGCAGAATCAATGGAATAAGGGCGGCGAAGCTTAGGAAAGAAGTTGCTGACATTTCTTGAGAACATTTTACTATCCCTTAGCATTACGCGTATCCTATGGAATGATTTTTACTATATACTACACTGGCCTTGCAGTGCACAACATGCTTCTGTCCATCCACGCCCTAGACCATCATGTTAGCAAGGAAAAGGTAGATTATGTGTCTTTTTTGCAGAACCCTCGCATTCTTTAGCTCTGATTCGAATTGGGTCTCACACGTTTACATGATGTTTTCCTTGTGCCAGGGATCCTGTTGACCGTGATACATTTCAGCACCCTGGCGAGCTTCCTACAAAGGAAGACGTTGGATACTGAGAAAAAAAAACGACTTGGGTTGTTTTTCATTAACGCTGTGCAAGCTTCAGTCTAGACGCTTCCAACCATCACGAGAGGGCATTCCAGCAGAAACAACTTAGCAGACACTTGCACTTGGAATGCACTGGGGCCTGGCAGCCTTCGCATGGTTGGATCGCTCAAGCATCTTTGAAACACAGTCTCTGGAGAGATTTGCGCGATGGCCGACTTTCCTACTGTCGAACTATTGAACACAGCACGCTTGAATGAAGTCATATTTTCATTTCGTTTGCAGACAAATCGGGTGGTGGTTTGCACCTTCCCGCCCAAGGCTGCCAAAGCTTTCTTTGTGGACAAGATCTTCGGGCCGGGATATGATGGGATTTCACCAACTTGGTTGGTATTGAGGACAGGTTGACAGGCAAATTCTGCATACAGTGCAACTGGCATAGTTTCAACTTTTTTCAACTGTATAAATGGACAGCCAATGTCGTTGAGAACGGACACTGAGGCCACACACACACACACTCACTATCAACATTATCAACCTTGGGTTCCAGCTTTTAAAATATGTGGTGATGGGGATTTCTTTTGTCCACTCCCTAGCCCCGTGGAGCAACGCTTCTTGGGCACGTACGGCGGCTAATAAATGCTTGTACGGCATGTGGGGCGGTTCGGACGGGGCTTGTCATCGACCTCAAACATGCCACACTTGCTGACAGTACAACATTAATACTGGTCCCTGGAAATGCACACTTTGCATGCCAAATGCAAGCACTACTATGCTTCTCCATGGTTGTTGTGCCCAAAGAGTTTGGGTCAAAGCGTTAATGTATCTTGGCCATTTTCAAGCATGTATTTGCTTGATGTATCTTGCCAATTTCAAGTATGTATTTGTTTAATGTATCTTGCCATTTTCAAACCTCCTTTTAGTCTTGATTGCGAACATTGAATCGAGTGAGACATGGAGAGGCCGAAAGTGGCGAAGATCTCCAGGGTCCCTGCCAAATGTTGGTGTGGGAGTGGGTCGATGGGTTGAACCGTCTTTGCATACATGTCAACTAGCACAGGTCTGGAGATGGATGTTGAAGTGAGTGTAGGCACAAAACAGTGGACACAATTAGGAAGAAGAAGGAGGAGGAGGAGGAGGAGAAGAGAAGAAGAAGAAGAAGAAGAAGAAGAAGAAGAAGAAGAAGAAGAAAAAGGAAGACACACCAAAACATTTTGAACCTTTTAAACCTACAACCTTAAACAAGCAGCCCTGTGGTTCTTTTATTTGCTGACCAGTTCAACCGCAACCGATTCGCACCACTGGTCCTAGGCCACGATGCTTGATCGCAAGGGTAGCATCACTTTGATTGAGAGAGAAGACGGTACCAATCTGGAGGCCTGGCAACAGCAACAGACCTGGATTTGGACATGCCCACATTGGTAGCTACGCTCCGTACTTGTATCGAGAATTTGCAGGGATTCCAGGGTGACGATCAATGAAAGACAAATACATGTAGTAGACTCATGTGGTCAGCAAGGTCGAGTTTTTTGCCCCCCACCCCATCAACCCCATCAAGAACAAAACGAGTATTTTTTGATGCACTGTCAAGTCATTCTTCGATCCCTTTTCAAAGGTGCCGATGAGTCGGGTTCTTCCTTGGTACGAAGGCCGAGGTCTCAGAGTTCCCCATGCAGTTTGGCCCTCCATTGCGAGTGAGACACAAGGTCGTTTCGGAAAAGTCTCCCAGAGGTTTCGTGCAACACGTCAAAGGTGCCCAGTTGAATGTGAAAGGTCTGGTGAAAGTTCATGATATCTAGAATGACAAACAAGAGGGCAAGATAACCATCCACAATATCCATTCTGGAGCGAACGTCGCCTGAACGTCAGTGTGTCTCAAAGTTTCATCATTTTGAGTCTCTGCCAATCAAGTTGTTTGAACAGCGGCCGGCTTGAGAGCACCGCGTTGTCTTCCTTCTTCTCTGCTTCTGTCCTTCCACCCTCGTGTTTGTTTTCTTATATATAGATAATCCTAGATGACCGCTGTTTCACCACCCCACATGTCCAGCATTCTTGTTCCAGCGGCGTGCTATGCCCTCAAGTTTCCTAGGCTAATCTCTACTTGCATTCTGCTGTGAGGTATGCTTGTAGCCCAACAGATAACGGGTGATAACTTAACACCTTCAAATCTTCAATATTCCAAAAAGTCATTGAACATACGACAAAGAATGCCGTGTGGGAGTCTTTGCCTCCCTAAATCAACAGCAGAAGCAGGTTGGCAGCCAGAAGCATATGATATCATGAGTGCCAACAACAAACACCACCCCCTTTCTTCGTTTGTTTGCTTGTTTGCTGGTTTGCTTCTTTCTTTCTTTCTTTCTTTATTTTCCTTTGTATTTGTACGTTTTGCACCACTGTATATAGGGTACATTTACAGGTGCCATCCATCTCGTGAGGCCTATTGGTCCTTCAAGAGATTGAGGCCGGTTGGGTTTTCGCTGTTTGCGGGCCCTTGCTCTTGTGCTTGATGCATTTTTTGCATGGTTTGCGCATCCACTGAGATCCACTAAGCAGTTCTCACGCCTTGGATCCCACCTTCAACAGCCCGTGTTGCGATCCAGTCAAGCTTCAGGCCGGAGGTGGTGGTGTGGCGTGGTTCACCCAGCAGGTTCGAGAGACCTTGGAGCAGGCGCTTGGCCGCTCGGGCCGAAAAGTCTAGGAAATGTGAGAAGCATACTATTCCGGAAGAATCCCAGTAAATTGAAAAGTCATGCGTTTCCATCGCTTTGGACCAAAACAACTGTTCAATTGCTAGCTGCTGGGCCTGACGCTCGGTTTGGACTTTTTGGACTTGGCACGGAATGTTGGTGATTGGGCTCAAGCTTGCAGAGAATCTGTGCGCGCTGTGCGTGTGTGATTTGTGCTTGAAAGCTTTCATCAAAGCTACAAAGCATGCCTCGTGACAAGGACGTGTACTTTGCCAAGCTCGCTGAGCAGGCAGAGCGCTACGATGAAATGGCCGACTACATGAAGGCCGTGGGAGATGATGGCTCGGAACTCTCTGTTGAAGAGCGCAACTTGCTGTCGGTGGCCTACAAGAACACCGTGGGATCTCGCCGTGCTGCCTGGCGCATCATTTCAAGCGTTGAGCAGAAGGAGAGCGTTGAAACAGACAGTTTTAAGTTTTGCCCCTTTGGTCCGGAAGAAGTGATCCCCCCTAAAGGTGAAACTTCCTGGAAGGAGAAATCCAAGGGCAATGAGACGCAGGCAGGCTATGCGAAGGACTACCGTGTCAAGGTTGAGAACGAGCTGCAGAAGATTTGTGACACCATTCTGAAGCTCTTGGACCAAGGCCTCATCCCAAAGGCGACGCAGGCGGAATCCAAAGTCTTTTATCAAAAGATGAAGGCTGATTACTATCGTGACTCGGCTCAACTCTGGGTCACTGACCTTTTGCTGAAGGAGAGACATGACAAATGTATACAACTGTAACGCGCTTGTGAGTGACCATGCATGAACGCATGTTGTTGCCACAGCTCGGTATTAGTGCTAACTGCGTATCAAACATGACATGTCTGACATGAGAGCGTTCACTTTGCTAGCCAGCCATTGGGCCATGACAGCAAGGCTACATCGCCGAGTTCCGCAGCGGTGACGAGAAGAGCAAAGCCGCAGAGGAGGCACGAAAGGCCTACGCAGAGGCAGCAGAGGTGGCCAAGAAGGATCTTTTGGTGACACACCCAATTCGTCTTGGCTTGGCCTTGAACTACTCAGTCTTCATGTACGAGGTGCTGAATGACCCTGATGAAGCATGCAAAATGGCTCGCACAGCTTTCGAGGATGCAATTGCCGAGCTTGACAACGTTGCCGAGGACTCCTACAAAGACTCCACGTTGATCATGCAGCTCTTGCGAGACAACCTGACCTTGTGGACTTCTGATCAGGAAGCTGGCAATTGAGATTGAGGCAGATCGCAGCTGCATCGAAGCAACACAAGCGTTGCACCTGCAGACCTGCGATAGTTTGGGAGAAGGGGGGAACCAGATGAGAACACTGAACGTGATCCAGAAAAAGAATGCGTGATGATATGCTGTGCAAAGTTTGTTGCATTCTAGCATTCCGTGCCATTCAACAAAAGCTACATTGCTATTGTGTGTGTGTGTGTTTGAACAGATATTGATGATATTGATTGATATTGTACTATTGTACCATTTTTGGTTTGAACAGCCTATCTCTGTGGGATTTTCTGCGGAAGCTCTTTGTCAAACGGCTTGGAGGAGCGCTCCAAATATACCAAGCTTCAAGCTGAGTTTCACTGGAGTGAAGCCATAGAGCGTACATGGCTGAAGTGCACCCTTGTTTTTTGCGAGCATACCTTTTTTTTGGGACGTTTGCTGCAAGCATGTTCTTATAATTGATCTTGCCCACACATCAATCCATGTGATTCGATCATTTGACGATTTGACTATGCCGGACCTTGGTGTGTTTTGTCAAAGGCTTTGAGATGTTAATTTTTGTCACGATATAGTAACTATAGCGGATCTCATATTTGCCTGTTGATTGTCAACTCACCCTCCAAGCCTCACATTTGGACCAGGTCTGTTGCTCAGAACCTCGGCAGCAGCCTTTACGTTGAGAAGAAACTCCTGGACCAGGCTGTCACAGGCTGGGCTAAGTAGCAGACTTGCCTAAGTTAAATGCTGGTCCACAAAGGTGGACTGACTTACTGTGTTCAGCGTAGGCACGCGCAGGTGATGTATTTTGATTTTGGTGGGTTTCTAACTTCTCAAGCAGGCTGCCACACAGAAATGGAACCTACTGTCGATCGGATGTGTCAATCCATCAGGTGCACGCTATGTTGATCATAACGACAAGGAGCACAATTTCCGGCGGGAGAAGTTGCAGGGGACTTGGGCTTCGAGTGAATTGATCTTGAGTTGCTAGTGAGGTGAAGATCGCAACACTTTGGCAGGTGGTTTAGACGACCTAGGTAGCTCTACAGTCTACAGTTAGTTTTCGCTGGATCCTGCCTTATGCCACTTGCACATGGCTGACAAAGACTCTAGGCATCCTACACAGCATGCAGTTTTGGTTGTTTCCTTTCCTTCTTCTTAGACATCGTGGTTGCTCAGGAATGGAGATGCTAAACCCTTCCTTGACGAGGTCGCTGGAAGAATATCTCTGGCGATAGTAGCCTTCACAGTTTACATTACAGCTCGTTGGAGCACTTGCAATACTAAAGTCATCTAAAGCCCTATGGATTATATAAAGCGTCAAGAAAGGGCATTGCATGACACCCAAATGGAATGAGCTGATGAGTAACCAGAGGGTTTGATTTGTGCGTTGGTTTCCCCGTTCTCTGTTTTCCAGTCTATGGCAGATATCGTTGACTTTTGGGCACTCAATCTATGAATTTTGCAGAAGCTGTCGGGTTCGGGCGACTGGACCAGTTTCACGTGACTCTTGGACACCCAACTTCTTGTGGAGCAAAAGGCATCGCTACGAACGGAGCGATCGGATGCTACTAGGGGCTCCTGGCATCGCTACTAGGACCAAGAAGCTACTAGGGGCTCCTGGCCGCACCACTAGGAGCAAGGACGCTACTATTATGAATGAGCTCCGGCGCTGCTACCAAATGCACCCAAACTCCCCTGTTGCCCACTCAGACTTCCAGGAAGAGGGGCCAGATGGCTTTTGGAAGGTCAATGACATCATTGGATACATGTTCCTTGGCAAGGTTTCAGAGAAATAACAAATTATTGTATACATTTTGTAAAACAAAGTGCCAAACATGAGTTGGTATCAAACTTAAGAGCTAGCAAGCGCAACAATCCAACCATGAGAGACTAGAAAGATCAATCAACACGTTCACGCAGCACAAAATGGGAGTTAAGCGGTAGGGTGCCATTGAATCTCTGATGCCAGAGCGATTCTCAATTTGGTGGCATCGTTTCACACGCCCATTCTTGTGGCAATAGAAGTGTTACTGTTGCGACATGCGATAAAAACACTAGGCGTACGAGAATGTGCTGCTATTTCTGTTTGTATGTTTGTGTCATTGTAGCTGGCTATATAATTGCTGTCCAAATGTTGAGAGAGAGAGAGAGAGGGCGAGAGAGAGAGACTACATTGGGGTTGCTGGTTTCAGGCCACCATGGGAAGCCTTTTGCAATCAGCTCGGTCCTTAGCAGTGTGACTTGGTGGCTTTCTCTCACAAGGGGCAGCACCTAAGCTCACTGAGTAGCGGATCTGACTTGTTCATAGCTTATTTTGCAAGCTTGAGTCCAGAGGCGATGTGGTTTATACCAGGAGTTCTACCAGGCAGCTCGCGACGTTCGTTTCTGTTGTTTGTACTTCTTGCTGATGGCCTACTGGATCACTCGAGCTTGCAGCTTCTAAAGTAAAATAAGCATTGATGCAAACACAGGTATGCCACCAATCTCACTGTAACTTCTGTTTCAGTAAGAGTAATTATTGTTTGTCATGGGGGGATTTCTGCTGGAGTTAGCCTGATGGTGCCTGCATCATGAGCACCAACATGCCTTTCGATTGTACAGCAGTTTCGGACATGGGATTCTTTGGAAAAATCTACCTCATAGCAGTGCAGCGCAGGTGAGATGGGACAAACCCTTCCTGAATGCTGACTACTCAAAAGTCGAAAATGGCACCACACATCCAGGCGGTGAAATCGAGTGCCTAAGGAAGACCGAGGGATGACGCTTGAACCTCCCCCAGTTGGCGTTTTGTGATGGATCGGATCACTCAGAAGTCTAAGATTCTGCAAAGCTGACATCGTTCACACCATAGCAGGAGTTGCTGTTTGTATTTAGAAGCATGAGAGGGTTGGAAGATGTGCTCCTGGGAGGTGCTACCTGGGAGCCAGATGAGTGCCTTCCTCCACAAATGGACGTGGAGCACCCAGCTTGAAAAATTCCTCCTTCAGACAGCCATTGATTGTGATCCGCTATTAGGTTGGAGGCCATCGCTCTTAGGTTGGAGGCCATTGCTTCATATTGCTTCTAGGTTGGAGGCCATTGCTAGTAGAAACAAAGAAACAAGAACAGGAAGAAAGGTCTAATATAGCTTGCTATTGGGTTGGAGGCCATTGCTATTTTGGTCTGAGGGTTTGCGACTTCGTGAAAAGCGCGCTTGGGCCAAGAAGAAAAGTGTGGAGGCGCACGGGGCGCTTGTTGGTGCACGGGTGGAGGGGCAACCAACCTTGATTCAACTGGCGGAGCGACAAGCAAAGATTGGCGGCTTCGTTATTCTTTTAACCTGTAGCAGAAGTTAGGAAAGACACCAACCCCATTTGTTTGGAAGTGTAGTTTCCAGCGCGCAGCGTAGATGGGTATCACCATCACCGCGCACAAATCCAGCGAAAGCCCGTCATGGGCAGGTCAAGAACAACATCATTCTTGGCCCCTTTCGTTTCATTTTATTTTCAAAAGTTGGGGAGTCACCAGTGTAGAACCTCATGGGAAGCGCTAGAGGCTCATGAGTCCAACATGCACAGGTGCATGGTAGTGGTGCTGGTGGTGGTGGTGGTGGTGGTGGTGGTGGTCCCCTAACTATATACTGTAAATTAATCATGTATATGACATTGGGGTTTCGTCTTTGGCTTGGATTACCAAGGGGTGGCTTTGTAAGGTGCTTTAATATTCAAGGGTGACAATCAAATGTGTGTTGCAGTTAGTGTTATATTGGGTGGACTTGTGGTGGTACTTATATTGATCACAACATTGTACACTTTTCTGAGTGATGCAGGAGCGGGAAGCTGCAGAAGCTGCTATGAAGGTGGAGTTGATGAGACCACACATCATTTGATTGTTTCACTGCTTGACGCTCCGCTTTTCATTGAGATTGACAGAGTTCAAGATTATTGCTTGGAGGCAGGAAAGAGAAAGGAAATTGCACCACAGGCAGGTGTACGTGGTGGAGCAAAAGTGCACACGAACGCGCTGCTATTGTCACCTCTCCTACGGCAAATCCAAGTCAACTCGCCATGCCAGGCTCCAGAACGACCTCCAAAGATGGGGAGATTCAGGCCAAATGCAGATGCAGATTCTTGGGTGTCACACCGCCTTGGAATTGGCAACTTTGATCATATGAATCATACTTGACTCTGTCCAGTGCAGAGCCCAGAAACCTTGCAGGCGCACTGGTGAACCCCTCATTGCAGACATGCTGGCTGCCCGGAAGGTTGTTTGCTCCGACTTCACAAAAGCGTGAGTGCTTTGTCAACGATGGAGCACACACTACAGAGATCATTAGAGCTGCATGAGTAGTTTCTTCCCCAAGCTGGAGCAGTTCGAGACTTTCCTGACCTGAGCATCATTGAGGTTTCGATTCGCGCTTGGTCATGACTTCAATCCGGAACCTTTGGATGTCCAGAATGGTTGGGGTGCTCAATTCTTTCAGGTTTCCCTAAACATCTAGGAACCAAATAGGAACCAAATCATTAGCGTGAGCTATCCTGCGTCCAGTTGCTGAAGCTTTAGTAGCTAGGAGCTTACTCCTTTACTTAATTAAGTAGGCGCCTACTTAATCAAGTAAGGGCAGGCTAAAGAACTAAAGAAACAGACAAAACGGGCTTGTCCACCTCACGAGTTGCAGCGACATCACGCTGAGACATCATCCGTGGGCGGTGGCCACGCAAAGCAGAGGCGCGGGTGGGTCAGTTTGTCAATGGTTGTGTGGTGAATAACGAAAGGAGCGATTGAAATCGGCAGATGGGGATCTACCGATCTTGCCACCATCTAAATGGGCAAGTAAGTTGTCCTTCTCTGGCGATTGGTACTTGAGTGGAACCGGTAGTTTGTCAGGGTAGCGGCTTTTTGGGCTGCAAAATGGTGCATGGGTGAACGATTTCTTGACGGCTGGTCTTTCGTCCCTGCGGAGAATTCAGGAATATCCTCCAGGCTATGGTGTGGCTGACCCGCCAGGCGTGCTTGTAGCTTGATCCGTGATGGGTCGGAGTGTTTTGTTTGTATAACGCTGGGTACGTCCCCCTTAAAACTCAAAAACTAGTCATTTGGAAGGGATTCTAGAACTGACGGTTGAAGTGGCCCCTAGTTTCTTGACATAGCGTAGACCTGCTGCTCTTGAATCAACATGTTGACAACAGCCCCATGCCACGGGGATGTCGCATGCTGTTGCAAGGTTGCCACTTCATTTTGAGCGTTTGCTCGACATGTGTTGGGTGATTCATGCAATATTTTAAAGTATTACAGTATTTATTTCATAAGGCTTTTGCAGCCGCTGGCTTGTACTTGACTAGATGTTCAATGGAATCCTTCAGAAATTCGATGCATGGGCGCGTTTCCGATGATGACATCCTCCAACACTGATCCGGGAGGCTGTTGCTTCGAGAAATGCGACTGCATGGCTTCTGGGATGCTTTACTATTGGCCTTTAGCATTTGCCTGCAAACTTTAGTAAGCCTGCTTTGCTCAGGATGATCAACGTGCGCAGAAGCAGTGGGAGACAAGCAAAAACTGGCTGGAGGCAGCAATTTCAGCGCAGTGTCATTGCTGCATTCGATGTTCTTTACACCTGAAAACTACTGCCAATGTGTCAGATCAGAAAAGGTGGTTGGTCACTGGTCACTGGTCATTGTTGGGCTGTGTCAATTATTCCAAGTCCTGTTCCAACAGTAGTTCAGTAGGTTTGTCCCGCTTGAGTCACTTGAGTGTCAAGGTTCTTCTTCCAGTGTTGGCCTGTTGTCGACCTTGTGCAACTACAAACTAAGAAAGCTAGCGTGCGAGCGGGTGGATGTGCATGTACCTTGGGGGTTAGCTATTGGTCAGAACTGTGGAGTCTAATGAAGACAATGACGTGTTGAACTCTTCTCGCAGGTAGCCGTGGGTAACTGGCCCATACATCCAGATGTCTTCGCTGCGCTCAGCATGCCACTTCGATACCCTTCTCATTAAGCACCGATTGTATAGATATGTAGGTGTGCCCAGAAGAACATCCTTGCAAAGACCTGACACAGGCTGTTGCCAAAGTACGATCGTTTAAACCCTTGTTGGCCGGAGAAATACATACCTCCGCAGAACAGTCCTGCCACTCCACGTTTTTGAAGACCAGGGCGACTTAGACATAATTGGACATACAATGCGCCAAAAGAAGCCTGTGTTCGAAAAGACCTTGTGAGCTGAAAAACATGTATTTGATGAACACTGAGACTACATGTACTTCGGGCTCAGCTTGAAGAAGCTTTTGGGCAGATTTTAGGATGCCCTTGGGCCTGAAGATGGATGTTTGTGCACCCCTTCGCAGCACTGGAATCACTGTGCGTCCGTTTGCTTTTGATCCTGCTTACATCGCACAAGCTTGGGTGGGTGATTTCAGGGTCGACACATTGAGGTGTTCTTTTTTGTCCGAGTCTTCAGATGGTCTGCGTGTGATCCCTTGTTGAGTTATTCGGTTGGTCTGCTTTTTGGCGGTTTGTATCAGGCGCTTTGTTGAGTTTCTTTTTTTAAAGCAGGGGGGGTAGGCCGCTAGTAGAGGTAGGTTAGCTAGGCAAGTAGCTAGTAGAAGAGGTAGCTAGTAGCTAACAAGTTGCTACCTAGGACGCAGGATAGCTCAGGCTCTATTCATTTGCTTCCTAGTTCTTTGGGAAACTTAAGTTGATATCCAATTCACTTCATTCGTTTTGTGCCTGCGTGTTGGACTATGTCACTTTCGTCGACTTCAACATGGTGAGATAAGCCCAAGAGGCAGTCCAAAGTTGGCATTCGAGGCGTTGCCCGATTCTTGCGGCGGTAGGTGGCTTAGTGGCTTGCTCCTTCGTGCCCTTTCATTTGAGCGCGCTTCTGCCTGAACATGCGTGATCAACCCTCAACTTCAAGTGCAGTGTCCATGTCTTTTTTGGGACCATCTCTGTGTATCACAATCTCTGTGGAGGTTTAATGAGGTTTCTATGGGTTTCTGATGTTTCTTCACGACCAAACTCCTGTGCAGGATGCCCAACGGACCACCAACGCACTGAAAGCCATCGAACACCTCAACGTTCTGAGCACAGCTTGGGGTTGGAATACCTTCATGGAGGGTATGGTCGTGGGTAAGATTGGGTAAGTACTTTCTTTTAATTCTGCTTAATACTTTCTTTGCTTCATATTTGGGCAAAGGTCGCTTGAACAGTTTGATGTGGGCGCTTCAGTTCTGAATGAATGTCCCTTCGGCCTCTCACATTTGAGGCCAGCCGCCTGGTCCGAAAACGCGGTGAGGCATCTGTGAGCCCTGGCGACGCATGTATATTGTAAGTTTCATTGGGCGCAGGTGTGGAATCCGCAGATCCGAGCAATTGAAATACTCCAAGTCGAGGTTTGCTGCGCCATGTGCGGCATGCCTTGGCTTTGAAATGCAGGTCAGTAGGCAGTTCTACTTCGAGGTCCTCCATCGGCACGAGGCGGAGTTTCTGAGCAAAAGACGACGGTGCATGTGGCCTTGCTGATCCTGAGGAACCAATGTCTGAAACCACTCCGTGAGAAGAGTTGAAAGACTATTTAACTGTTTGACTATTTGCTACATATATAGATAAACATTGGCCTAGAATGATTCAGAACAGCGAAGCTTCATTGCTGAGGTTGAGGATCCTCAGCGGATGGCTGCCCTCAAGGTGGCACAGGAAGTGGAACTGCAGATCCAGAGGTCATTGAAGGACGACAATTTTGCATTGTTTTTGTTTTTGTTTCCACGGACTTTGGTGGTTTCATTTTAGTTTTAGCTTGCAGGGATTGATGAACCTCCCGAGGTAGAAGAAACCTTGCATTGGCCACTCGGGGTTTGAGTGGTTTACTCATGTTTACTCTGTTTGGAAGACATGTGATTTCTCTCCAGGAATTGCCGCTGACTGCCCTCACTGATCCTTGTGATGAGGCGCGGGAGTTTCACTTGAATGTTAGGACCATGGTGGATTGAATCACAGATCAGCGCTGAGACCTTCATTTAAAAGTCGGTGGTTGCGTTGCTGTTATTGTCTCGGTATATAATGGACCGGAGAACTGACTTGAAAGGTGCGAATCCCAGCTCTTGCGTTTATGAAGAGCGGCGAAGATTACGTGTCGGCGACCAAGCTGTCTCCGACATGGGGAAGGGGGCAGGCCACGACTCTGGCAAGACATCAAGACACACCAAGACTCTGAAATGCCTGGAGTAGACCATTCTATGCATCAGCATGCCGACGTACTATGACATACTGCAACCAGCCAACTAGATGTACGTTTGGTCATTAAAAAGTGTGCGTGCAGTATTTGTAGGAAGAGGTGCCCACTCTTGGGTATTTCACTATTGATTTAGCTCACACTTTCTGATCGCCTACGCGCAGCTTTTGGACTGGCTTTGCCTGACACCACTGTTTGACTGGAGAACCCAATTGTATGCTGTACCATTCCTGTGAGATTTTTGGTTTGAGGCCTCTCCGCTTTGAAATTGAAAGCGGGGCCAGTGACCTGGCAGCAAAGTGTCTCTTGTCAAGCTCTCCACCCGTTCGATGTATAGTTACCCCGTTCGGATGGAGGGGCTAATCATGTTACCTCGTTGACCCAGCATGATGTAATGGGCTTTGTGGTTTGGCCTGTGGGGGCTTCTAGGGATGGTGGTTGACTTTGGTTCTGGATGCATCCTTTTCGTTTCAATGCAGCTCTTTGCATCGCAGAACCTAGAGTCTGAGTTATAAGTTATAAGTGAAACGAACCCGTTTGAACGACCACGGAGAAGCAGGTGGTTTGGTTTCTTTTTCGCTACAGGCAGCTGGGCCAAGATCGGTCTGCAGCTGACTGTCAGATTGAGCGGCCAGTGGGAGTGGAGTAATTGTCAGTGCTTGAGTCCTTCAGAGGGCAAATGAGAGAGTATGAGACGGAGTCAGATTGAGAGAATCTGTGGAGTTCTGCACGTTGTCATGAAGTCTTGAGACGGGTGAGGTCTAGAAGATGGAGTGCTGACCACAACTGCAGCTCCACCATCCAGGCGATTGATTTGTTACCTGCCAAGGGCTTTTGTTAAGACTTCCATTTCTCAAACGGTGTAGCTTTCCTCAAAACCACTGTGTACTCCCTAGGTGTTGTGTAGAGACGCTTTTTGCGCGTTTGGTGTAAATTATGTGTTTGTTTTGTCGAGCTTGTTCAATCCCATCACACACCTTTCGATGTTTCGACTGGGGAAGAGAGGCCAGTTCCCAACTCCAGGCTGGAGCCAATCAGAATAGACCTCTACAACTCGGAGGCGCGGTTGTATTATGTATGGAGGACGCTACTAGTAACCAAGGGCCTCCTGGGAACAAGAAGCTACGAGTAACAAAGGGCATGCAGGCGATGAGTTACACTGGGGGTCCAAGAGAACGGCATGTGACCCGTGCAATCCTACCCATGCAGGAGGTTCCTGAGATGCGATACCTCAAGTAATAATAACTTTGATGAATTTTGTGGTCAGTGATGCATAATTTTGCAGGATGAAAAAGTAACTCATTATATACAGTACTACTAGTAGCTAGAAGCTTCTAGTAACAAGTGCATCGCTACTATATAGATGAACAGTAGATGTTGTCAACATTGCCCAGCTTGCTTGTTTCGGTACCTGTCCATCAGGGGCTCGCGGCAGTGGTTGACTGCTCGGTCTGGACGCAAAACCGGTGAAGGGCTGCAGAGGGTTGCTGAGAAAGATTAGATCGTTGGTTTTATAGGCCACGTTGTTTGTCATGTGGCAAGCTGTATTACTATGTAATGGCAGACCGTTACCGGAAAGCCATATCCGAGCTATACAAGACCAAGCTCACTCCACATCGAAGTATATAAGATGAACATGAACTTGGACGTGTGGACCCGGAAATAGGGCGTTTGTGAGGTCACCAGCTCTCGACAGCCTGAGCCCGTGTGGCAAAAGGGCACGGTGTTGAGCTCATGGTGAGAGGACCACGTAGATGTCACGCCTGTTGAAGTTTCCACGAACGCAATAATTCGACAAGACTGCATTGAGTCTGGGGGTGTGATGATTGGACTCACTGCTTGAGGCCACGGACCTACAGTATATATCATATCATATCCATACATATATATATATATACAGAGATGTAGAGGTGGGTGCATAGTTGTAACTTTGTGTCCTTTGGTCCTACGCATATACAACTATCGACTTTCAGCCACTTAAGGTCAGTCTTGTTGCTCGTTTCACAGATGTGCAGAAATGCCACAGACTCAGACTTCCAGATTCCAGAGCATCCTGGACCGCACACCCTGAAAGTCCATTTTATGTACTGGAATTCCACTTCCTATATAATGTATATATATATATATGATAAACGCTTTCGTGAGTTAAAACGAAACGCCAAACGCGCCTGCTTTTATGCAGTGTTTCGGCTACAGCTGATGAGCCACCGCCAGCGTGATTGCACGTGTTCCGCGTGCATTGCGCTCGGGCGTGTGGCGAGCGTGGTGGTTGACGAGGACACCACACCGGAGCATCGAGACTATATCGCCAAAGTCCTCGAGCGCTCCTACACCAAGATCCTCGAGAAAGGCCTGGAACTCCTGCGGAGGGAGCGCCGGGCCGCAGACGAGGGTGACTCGGGAGTGGCCTGCCACGCCACTCCTGGTTCCGAGATTGAGGAGAAGGAGGTGAAGGAAGAGCCACAAGAGGAAGCCACAAAAAAGAAGAAGAGGAGAAAGAAGAAAGCCACCCAAGAGTTGGAGAGTGCCATCGACAACAAGGACGAGCCATCTGCCCCCGCCAAGGACGAGGAACAAGGAGAAGAGGCTGCTGCTACATCATCGAGGAGGTCACCTACACCAGAGAAGGCTGCAGAAAGCGTGAGCCAGCCCTGTGAAAAGGATCCTCGACTTCCTCTACCCCGCAAGGCCGTGAAGCCCAGTTCAAAGCCCCTTGAGCCTCAGAAAGAGAAGAAGACAAGGGAAGAGTCCACCGGAAGGTCAAGTGGGAGCCGCCCTCTCAATTTGAGGCCGAAAGCAAAGACCGAGAGGAGAAGGTCAGTCAGTCGATCGCGAGACAGGGAGCCCAAGGACAAGAAGAAGAGGCGAAGTCCGAGTCCTGAGGTGGACCATTTTGGGGGAGACAGAGGAGTCTCCTCGGGTGGCTTTGAAACAGGAGGTGAGGGCGCTACATTGGTTGAGGCTCCTCCTGGGAATTCAAAAAACAGTTCATTGAGGACTCGCAGACCGCGATCCCCGGATTATCCACCACCTCTTCCACGCCGACCCAGCAGAGGACAATTGTGGATTGGCCCCATTCGCGCATACAAGAACAAGCCCGCCAACAAGAAAAAGAATAAGGGATTGAAGAAGGAGCTCAAGAACGAGCGGTACTGGGAGCGAAGGCGTCAGAGGTTGTGGGAAGAGCGAACTCGGGGCTACAGGAGGCGATAGCCTGGGGTATGCCTCCCAAGAGGCGACCAGCAGCCGCTGAGGTTCGGAGAGGGGTGCTTCGCCGACCAGCAGCGGCGCCTGTTGCAGTGGACAGAGGATGGCAGAATGCGGGAGAGATTGGCAGCGATACTCTCCTGGGGTGGCCGTGGGTGCATTTGAAGGGGCGCTTCTGGGACGAGGACGTGGAGCTCATCGGCAAGGTCATGGAGATCAAGATGAGAGACACCGGTCGAGAACTCGTCATGAAAGGTTCCGGCACTCCACCCGAGAGCCTGTTGAAGGCCCTGACAGGGATTCCCTCTCGACAGTTGAGGGTTCATCTATGTGGGGATCCATGCGAAGCACTGGTCCTATGTGCATTGCAGTCAGGTGCAGGAGGCTCAACGAGCAGAGCTTGGGTGGAGCCAGAGCCTGGAAGCGGCTGGTGGCAGAGAAGAGGAGGACGAGCTGCGGCTGCTCAGGGCGTCCGTGGAGGAGTTGAGAGAGAAAGGAAAAGGAGTTGGCGGCCAGCCAGCAAAGGAGAAGAAGAGAGGAAAGTCTCCTGGTACTTCGGGAGACGAGGACAAAAAGAAGAAAAGGAGAAAGAAGAAGGACTCCTTGAAGATCCAGGGAAGAAAGGGCTGGACAGCCTTTTTGCCTCCACAGGACTGGATCCCAAGCCCGAGATCAGGCGAAAAGTCAAAAGGAAGGCTCGAAAAGTGGCCAGGCGGAGTCGAAACAAGAAGAGAGGCAGCAGCTCATCGGGGTCGGAGAGTTCGAGCAGCACCAGCCGGGAGAGTGCAGGCATCGAGGACAAGGACTTGTTCGAACCGGCTACGCCGACTCAGCGGGTGTGGAAACTATGCCCTGGCGCTCTCACAGGAGGCCTTATCAACACAGATGGGGACAGCCTCCGAGCCCATGGAAGGGGCAGTCCCGGCTCTGGTCACGCAGTATGCCCGCGATGAGTGGGCCGGTTGCTCGAGAATCCCACCACTGGGGATTGCTGTTGGACCTCTTGTTGAGTGGCCAAGTGGCGGCTGCGGCCGACCTAGCCGCCCAACGACTCAAAGCCCTGGAAGGGCATTCGAAGGGCATGAAACCCGAATTGCTACGGCAACTCGAACTTGTCGCCCAGGAAAAGCCATCGCTCACGAGTACAACGGAAATCATGAAGGCTGGCCGGCAGGCGAACGAAGAAGTGAAGGTATTACAGAAAGCAAGCTCCCGCGACGCCTCCGAGAAGGGGAAAGGCCAGTGGAGGGACTGGCGAGAGAAGATCGACAGAGGAGAGAAGAGTGGCAAGGGCGAAAAAGGCAAGAAGGGGAAGAACGATGGGAAGAAGAAGGCAGCCTAGCAGAGCAGGTGGGACCTACAGGAGATGGCAATCCTACGAGTGGTGGCATTGATGGTGGCTATATTGGGGAGCCGCTCAGTGGCAGAGCGGCTCCTCGGGAAGTGGCAATGGAGCAAGTCACTCCTGGGGTGGGATGGTCTCCTGGTGGCAGGGAGACGCATCAACCACAAGGGAGTGGTATTTTTGATGACTCGGAGGCAACAGCTTCTACCTTGGTGCAACGGTCTCACGAATCCTGATTTATTTTTGGAGCAGCGGCCCCAGGCTCAGTCGGTGGAACTTCATCCAGGAGACACTGCCGCGATGGTTGGAAGGCCACAGCTGCCTACATTGCCGCAGAGGACGATGAGAGAAGTATTCCAGAGCGCCTTGGGCACTTTGACTTGTGATGAACGGATGCGCTCCAACATGGGTGGAGACGAGGATGGCAAGCAAGACCTTATGCCTCTACCCGTGCCCCAGGCGGATGCAGTGGTGGCAGCGACCGTCGTGGCCATCAACCACCTGGGAGGCTGGAAAAACCGGCCTCCTGGCATTCAGAACGCTTCGGACTCTCAGATCCTTGCGGTAAAAAATTTGAGCGACCTTGTGCACAGACATGGATTGTGGAAGGTTGATGATGTTTGCATTAATTTTGAGGATTTCTTTAAGAGAAAGTCCGTTGATTACATGGGTGAAGAGGTGAAGGTTGGTATGACCATGAACTGGAAGGCTATTCGTGATTCCTTCCCCCAAGAGGTTGGTTGTCTTGATCTTCAACGATTCTGTCGCCTTGGCACGTTGGAGTACGTTGTAAACTTTGAAGACTTCCTCTTTCCCCAGCAGGACTGGAAGTACACCAAACCCCCCAGGGTGATGGTGGAAAAGGATGGTTGGTGGGAACTTTGTCAGGGTCTTATCGATCAAAAAGTTTGCGACGTGATGCCGATCGACCAGCTTTGTCGCGTACATGGCAAACCACTTCTGAACGGAATGTTTGCTGTGGGCAAGGGAGAATATAAAGACGGATTGGAAACGCAGAGGCTGATCATGAACCTGATCCCGGTCAATACACTATGTAAGCCACTAGCTGGAGATATTAGCACGCTCCCGGGCATTGCGGGACTGTCTGGTTTCCTCCTCGATGCGGGGGACATCGCAGGCCACCTGAGGGACCAGTGGACGAACATGCACCTCCTCCCTGAGTCGACGCATCCGAACAAGTGACAACTCCGTCAATAGGGACCCTGAAGTCCACTTGAGCGAGAGGAGCAAGAGCAATGAACCTCGACAACTCCACCTTCACCTCCCACGGGAGCCGCAACCTAACCACTGGAGCCTCTCCTTCAAACCTCTGCATATGCGCAAAGACCTCATTCAAACAGCGCAACAAGGCCCTCCGGAACATACAGATGTAGATGAACCCCCCACACACGACCTGTAGTTCTCGCAATGTGCATTGACCTCGCCTGATCAGCTCATCGGCTAATTACCTGCACCTTCTCGGGCTTCGGAACAGCAAAACCAGCCTCTCCGTCAAGCATTGCACCTTGAACCTCACCTTGGAGAGCTCTCTGAACCGACTTCTTGGGGTGTCGCGGCAGTCCCATGGAGTCATACATGTCCCTGACCTGAGCTACAGCATCCGCCACGCCGCCCTTGATCTTGCCTGCTAACCGACTCTCGGTCTTCTCCAGCAGATCAAAATTGTCCAGGTAGATCCGGTATAGTCGACTCCCCGAACTCAAAGGCCTATCTTTCCGCATTTCATGGTGCTGAGCAATGGACACACTATTAAGGAAGCCCATGGGCAACACTCTGGCCACCAAGACACAGGCGCTGTCACCGTACTGCGGAGGAACTAAGTCTGGGGGAACCTGCTTGTTGAAGCCGAGGTAGCGCTTCCACTGCTCTGGCACACTGAACAGATAAAAGAAACACCGAATATCCTCGCTACTAAGTAGGACCACCTCCTTGGTCTTCCCATGGCGGGACACGTGAGTATTGAAAAAGACCCCAAGGGACACCGTGTTGTTAGAGCTTCTTCCCTGAGACTGACTTCTTTGACGACGTCATGGAGTTTGGGGCAGAACAGGTCGCAATGTAGGCGTGGTACTTGTTGGCGCAGGACCCCCCTGCCAGGGAGTCAGTGGTCTTAATGCTGACCGCAAAGGGGCGGTGCGAGATGAGCGTAGCTCCTTGTTTGTGCATGTGCCTCGTATCGGTGACCTTTTGCGAAGGGGGTTTCCCTGGGCCCAGGTCCACGAGCTAGTCGAGAACGTTGCGTCAATGAGTAGCGACGACCGGACTTTGATGAGTCAGACTTTTGGAAGACTCCCCCACAAGATTGACTCCAAAGGGATTTGTTTGTGCTCCCGACCTAGACTGTACTGGACTAGTTGGGCGATTGAGGAGGAGCCGGGTGTCACCTTTGCACCAGAAAAGGAAGTAAGTTGGAAAGTTTTTGACACTGTTCACTTGAAGGCGGAGGTCGAAAGCGGGGCATTCCTTCAAAAAGGGTGGAGCTTGCGTGAGGGGTGCACATTACCTACTTTTACTACTTCAAGGCCTCGCACTAGCCCGGGACGTAGACCAGCAGGACTGGACACATGCGCAGAGCACGAATTGCAGAGGTGGAGACAAGACTCGTACAGATTCCCCCCATACCAGTACAAAGACAACCATGGCCTGTGGAGCAAGAAGGGCAGCTGGAGGCGGCCGAATGTACAAGAGCGCGAGCTGATCATGGGATTTCCACTCGACTATACCAAGAACTGCGTGGTGAAGGCCGAACAAAAGGGACGTAGCTATGACGATGCCCGTTTAAGCCTTTTGGGCAACTCCTGGCAGGTGGGAGTTGTCGCGTGGTTGATCATGCAGCTGATGGCGCCTTTAGGGTTGTGTGTCAAGCGGTCATTGCAGGAGCTTGTTCATGAATTCACCCCAGGGAAAAGGCTCTAGCTTTTACCACGTGTTGATGCGTCCACCCTTTCCAGGACGTCGGGCCCTACCCTCTAGCCCTGATACAGTCGCTCTTGTTCGAAAACTTCTAGGTATGACCGCTTCTAAGGGAGAAGACCTTATGATCCACGCTGGAAGTGACCCACTCCCCCGTCATGCTCGTCTACGAGCGAGTGTGCCCGGCCGGCTTTGGCGGTGGAAAGAGATCAGTGGCTGGAGGTGGAAACATGAGGGTGATCACATCAATCTGTTGGAGTTGCGAGCCACTTTAACCACTATTCGCTGGAAGATTCTCAGAGGAAGACGTCTTCGGGTTCGCTTTCTGCATCTCACCGACAGCTTGGTGTGCTTACACGCTCTGACCAGAGGACGCAGTTCTAGCAAGAAACTTCGGAAGACCATACAACGACTGAATGCCTATCTCATCGCAGCTGACCTCCACCCCCTCTGGGGGTATATTCACACCTCACAAAACCCCGCTGACCGTCTGAGTCGGCGGCCCATGTGTCGCAAATGGGCAAAGTAGGTAAACGAGTACTGGAAGGTCAGACATGCGAAGATAGGCAAAAAGCAAGGCAGAAATTAGGATCGCTAAAATCTTTGACTGTGTCCGAAAAGACTCGAGCCAGGTATGACAATGCCACCTCGAAGTTCGCTCAATGGCTGAAAGACAACGACCTCACCTTACCACGCAAGCGCGACCAGCTTGATGGGCTTCTGGCTGAATTTATAGAATACCTATGGTCGGAGGGCTTTGGCCGCGCACAAGCATGCGATACACTAGCTGGGCTGCAGGATCGAGATCCGAAGTTGAAGGGACACCTTCAACTGTCCTGGAGGTTGATGCGCGCATGGAGCACCAATGAAATCCCAAATAGGGCACCGCCATTACCCCAGGAGGCTGTCATGGCCATGGTAGGATGGGCCTTTTTTCATGGACATTTCAGTTTCGGGGTCTCACTGCTAGTGGGTTTCTATGCTATGCTTCGTACAGGCGAGTTGTTGCACTAAAAAAACTCCCACATCTACATGACAGGTCCCAAGACACCGGCTGTCATTTCGCTTGGACTGACTAAAGGTGGAAAACGCATTGGAGCAGCAGAGAGTGTGACCCTCTCCAGCGCGGATGCACTTAAATGGTTGTGGATTTGGAAGACTGGGCATAAGCCTCATGCTAACCTATGCCCCACCAATGCAGCATGGCGCAAGCTCTTTGCGGCGTGTCTCACTGCCCTGTCCCTCGATGTGTTCCAATTCCGCCCTTACAGTCTCAGGCGAGGCGGCGCCGCGTTTTGGTTTTCCAAACACGGCAATCTAGATAAACTTATGATTGCTGGACGCTGGCAACGGCGAGAGTGTACATCAATGAAGGACTTGCAGTCCTTGCAGAACTTCACCTACCCAGGGCCAAGCTAAAACCTTTCACAACTGTGTTTCACTCCGGGGTGCGACCTCAACACTTGAGCGCGAACAAGCGCAGAAAACAGGGGGACGTGGAAAGGGCAGTTGGGACTGATTTTTAAATTCTTTTAAAAGAATACATCG